GGGCACACACCTGTAATCCCGAATGAGGAGGCTAAAGCAGGAGGATCTCAAGGTCAAGGCCAGCCTCAGCAATTTAGGAAGACCCTATCTCAAAATAAAAGATTAAAAAGGCTGGGGATGTAGCTCTGTGATAAAAGTGCCCCTGGGTTCAATCTTTAAAAGGAAGATGGAGGCAGGCAGGAAAGAGGGAGGGAAGAAGGGAAGAATAACATGTCCTAGTCTGTGGCTTGTCTTTTTCATGGTGCTAATATAGTTTCCAGATTTCCTAGTGGAATAATAGAAGATTCATAGTATTGTTTAGTGGAGTCAAGGATCTAAAATAGTGATGACAGGATATTCTGACCAACCATTTTGTAGAGACTGGAACACAGGAAGAAGCTTGGGTTCTAGTCATGATTCTTCTATGACTTGAGTATCACTGGAGTCCCATCACCCCCATGGCTTGGGCTCCTCATCTGTAGATGGGAGAGTTGGATAGATGATCTCCCTGAGCACCTTCCCAGTAGGTTTTCTAACACTATGAGTCATGCTCTTATGCACAAATAGGCAGTGGCAGGAGAGCCCAACTTCCCTAATGTGAAGGAACAGCCTCTGTGTCACTTCTCCTGACGCCCCCATAGAGTAGTCACCTTATCCTCACTGTGTCCACAGCAACTGCTCATATTACTGTCACAATTCTCCTGGCATTGTGCTGTTATCAGTGTGAGTTCTATTTGTGCCTCTGAATAGATCACAAGCTTCCTTTAGGACAGGGCTGCCTTAGCATATCCTCAGCATCCCCTATAATTCCCAAGTCAGGTCAATCCTCAGTGAATGTTTAATGAATGATTACAGGACCATGGGAAGAAAAGGAGGGAGAATGGAAGGTCTTTAACAGCTGCAGATATTCACCCAGCGAACACAGGAGAGTTGCTAAAATATTTACACATAAACCAAAAGGACCATCAGCAAATAGTTTTAAAGCTGTTTTACAGGTGGAATCTATTTTTGAAGATCACACAGGCAAATTCTGGTGTACTAAATAATGGAAGCCAATACTCTCTGAGTTGTAATCTGATGTTCCAACTAAAAGGCTGAATTGTCATTATTTTAGCAAAAATAAATTAGAATTTGAATTAAACTCACTTTTGTCCTTTTTGTGCAATAGAAATTTATTACTTACAATTTTGAACTTTTCCCTACTGATGTATCCTAAAAGATTAAAAAGGGAGTCTCTAAGCTGTGATGATCTATATAATATCAGAGGTAGAATTACTTAAATAAATTCTCTTTTAGCTGTAATGCAATTCCCTGCTTGTAGTAAATGTAGGAGAAAACAAATCTACATAATAAAAATACTCGAGTTGTCATGACAACAGTAAGAAGCAACAGGAGGAAAACTCTTAGCCCTTAAGAATGGTCTGTTACAAGATGTCAGAACCCATTAAGTATGGTCAGTACTCTATCCTTCATTTAGCTCTGCCTTTACACAGCTGACTTCACGGCTGCAAATGTAATCCAATTTTCTCAGCTGCACATTAGCTTCTGGAAACAAATTTTGAACAGAGCTCTTTATCCTTTCCTGAGGGTAATATATTATCTATTCATCATGAAAAACTGCCCAGTGTCTTCTATCTCCCACTCTAATATTTTCATTGTAATTTATTATGCCAGTATTGTCAGTTCCTGGTTTTAGTATGACTAGTAAGAACATTATTAAATAATAAAAAGTAAGTGGATTACAAGATCCACCAGGGTAGGCAGATGAACAGTGGAGTGAGGATCAACATGGCAATCTTACAGTTGTTCTGCAGGCCCAGTTTTGGCCCCAGCAAACACCAGCTTCCAGATGTGTTATAACATTGGTGAGCTCCTAGATATGCATCTAATAATAATGGGCAGTTGGTGATCAGCTGACAAATGGGGTCATCCATTAGATCATTTCTTGGGAACAGTACTTCCCAAAGTTAGGTCCCAAACCAAGTACATCTGAATACCCCAGCATGCTTGTTAAAAATGCATAGTTTAAATTTCTATTCCTAATCTTCTAAATCAGAAATTTGGTGGTTGGCTTAAAGATATGAATTGCTAAGATTTGAGAATCCTTGCCTTTATCTCAAAGTGTGAAAAAAAATTGAAGGCAATCCCCTCTGGTACTAAGTACCTAAGAAAGGCAAATAAGGTTGATTCCTAAGTGAATAAAAGGAAAGAAGACAGCTAAAAATGAAATTTACCAATTTCACAGTTTTCCTTAGGATTACCTTGGTTCTGACTGCTATGAATTTAACCTGCTCTATAATGCTGGTGTTTATATTATACCTCAAAAATAAGCATTGTAAGGTAAATCATTCTGCTGGGCTCTAGCATGCCAAAGATGAAGTTCGCAGCTTCCAAGAGCCAAACAACTAAATGAACAGTTAAAACATTGTGTGGTCCACAATGAAATACAGCTTCACACCCGCTAGGATGGCTATAATAAAAGACATAAACAAGTGTTGAAAAGGATGTAGAGGAACTGGAAACCTACACATCACGGATTATACAAATAATTAGAATGTAAAATGATGTACATTTTGGGAAAACATTTTGGCCATTCATTAAAAGGTTTCAACTAGAGTGACTATGTCTCCCAGCAATTCCACTCATGGGTATATACCCCAAAATATCAAAAACATCGTATTAGTCAGTTCTTCATCTCTGTGACCAAATTACCTGATAAGAACAATTTAGAGGAGCAAAAGTTTATTTTGGGCTCACAGTTTCAGAGATTCAATCCATGGTCAGCCAACTTCATTTCTATGGGCCCAAGGTAAGGAAGAATATCATAGTGGAGGAAAGCTCCTCAGCTCATGTCATTCAGGAAGCCAACAAGATATAATCCCCAAAGGCATGCCCCAAATGACCTGCTTCCTCACACCCCATCTGTCTCCAGTTACCATCCAGAATTTCATTCAAATTATTAATCCATCAAATGGATTAATCTGATCAGGTTATGAAATCAGAGTTTGAGACAAAACTTGATTCTCCTCTTTATTGGTGGGGTTAGGGGGGTTTATGTAAACTTCAGGCCTCTGCAACCAAGAAAGCCCATTTCAGTGTTGACTGCTAATCACAGCAGGGGCTGCCTACCAGTCTCAACTCTCAGGGTCACAGCCATATGATTTTATCATCCAAGCCTTGTGTTTGTTTTTTTTTTCTGCCTGAATATCCTTAAAATAACAATCAATAAATGTTGTTTGCCTGAAAATTAAATATTATTTCAGATTTAATTAAAGAACAAGATTAGCAAATCTGTAGATCATGCTTTCATGTTATCTGAAGACCGTCAGAAGTCCTGGGCTCTGAAAAACTAAAGAAAGATTACGGCTAAACTAAGGGATATAGAACCAGGCATAAGAAGCCTAACTGGGCTGTCAAGGAGGTCACACTGGTGAAGGACTGAGTTAAGAGAATGTCTTTGGGGTGGAAGAAGGCCCTGGCGATGAACAGTATGAAGGACTTAGAATCAGTAGAACTCAATCAGTAGAACTGAAGGAGCTAGAGAAGTAGGAATAAAGGATGCCACTCTGGTTTCTGGCTTAGATGAACTGCATGGTAAAACTATTTATCGAGCAAAGGAATTCAATAAAATTAAAGTGAGGGCTGAAGATAGTGACAAGTTCCATTTCAGACACATTGACTTTCAAGTGCCTGTGGAATATCCAGAACTTAGGAGAGAGATCTGCATTAGAGATACAGTTTTGACAATTACCAACTGCAGCATAATTTCCATAGAAACATGTAGAGTGTAGGCACAGGAAAACACTCCCCTTCATGAGCAAGTGCTTCTGATCAAATTAACAAATCACTCTTAGACTGTGTGAATATTTAAAAAGTGAAACAGTGACTGGATCAAGGTGAGTGGGCACTATAAGCTAAGTTGCAATATAGAATGCACACACCTTTGTGTCCTCTCAGTTTCCATTTTGAATGTGTTATAGATCTTCAGGTCTGATTGCAAGATTTTCTTATTTTATAAAGGAGTTTTCAAGAGAACACTAAGGCAGTGTGGGAAATCATGTGGAAAATCAAATTTTTCCTTTCTTTCTTAACTTGCCTTTCTTCTCTTTTGTTCTCTTTGATATTGTTTATGGTATTGTAAAACTTGAAGTAAAACACCAAAACCATCTACATCACTTTCTATCTTCAAAACAGGCATGACAGGATTAAGACCTTGATATGTGTATTCGGAAGGAGCCATGGAACTGCTGATATAAAGGAAACTTTTGTGGGGTGGGGGTAAGGGGTTGGTTTATACCTTGGACCAGGGAAAGGAGATGAATGCTCAGCACCTGTGGGGGTGGGGAGTGAGGTGTTTTGTTTTTGTTTTTGTTTTTGTTTTTAAAAAGAGAGAGAGAGAGAAAGAGAGAGAGAGAGAGAGAGAGAGAGAGAGAATTTTCTAATATTTATTTTTTTAGTTTTCGGTGGACACAACATCTTTGTTTGTATGTGGTGCTGAGGATCAAACCCTGGCTTACACGCATGCCAGGCGAGCACACTACTGCTTAAGCCACATCCCCAGCCCAAGGGAGTGAGGTTTTTTAAAAAGATATTTGTATCTTTTGTATTTATAGTCAAATAAAAATGAAAACATCAATATCTTTTCCTTTTCTATTCTGGGCTTATTCTTAAAACCTTGGGTTGACTGTTCAGTTCAAACTCAGCCTGCTATTTGAAGGCTCTATAATTTGGCATCATACAAGACCAATTGAATCAGAATTTGTGGGAAGGGGATGGACCAAAGTATCAATTTTATTTTTAATTTCCTCAGGTAATTTCAACATACAATCAAGGTTGAGACTCTCTCCGGTTACAGTATAAATGAGGGAAACAACTGGATCACTTGAATTATTGTGAGAAACAAATGGCAGAAATCAAAGTTTGCCTCAGCTTGGGATGGCATCTGTGCTGTGGGTGTGTGTGCACATGTGTATGTGTGCATACACATGGTTTGAACTTCTTCTCTCTGCCCTGCCATGCAGGTGACTGCCGTGAGGGTGTATGTGAACAGTTCCTCTGAGAATCTCAACTATCCAGTCCTTGTTGTGGTTCGTCAGCAAAAAGAGGTCCTATCTTGGCAGGTTCCGCTGCTCTTCCAAGGACTGTAAGTGATTCTTTTCCCAGATGGTTTCATTACATTTTGTTTTCTTCAATGTCCTGTAACCAATGATCGGTTGGTTTTCTAGTGAAAGGAGAAATCAGACATGGGAATATTGAGATGTCATAAATGCAAAGTACAAATAAAGTTTGTGGTGTATACCCTGAACTGTTCATCTCCGTTCCATTTCCATCTGTTTTGAATTTCACATAAGCACTGTTCTTAGATTTGCAGCAACTGGAAAAAATTTTTTTCCTTTATTTATTTATTTTAAAATAAATAAATAAATATTTATTAAGTTGCCCAGAGTGGCCTCAACCTTACAATCCTCCATCCTCAGCCTCCCAAGTAACTGGGATTACAGGCATGTACCACCATGCCTAGCTTCCCTTTTACAGTTTTAAAATCTACCATAGTTTTCTCCTGGTTGGGAAGTGGGTCATCCAATAGCCATTCAGTGAGTTAGGCCTAGCAGTGAGCATATAAATAGGCAGTAACCTCCCCCACCCACATGCTGGTGCACTCTTCATTCAATAATATTTATAGATCACTATTAAGTGGTAGGTGCTGAGGATACAGCTGTTAAAAAAAAACAAAACAAACAAACAAACAAAAAACAACGAAGTCCTTGTCCTCAAGGAGTTTATATTTTCTCAGGGAAGAACTATGTAAGGCATTACCACACTAATAAGGAAAATCCAAAGACACAGAGTATGGTATTATACATTTTCAAAGGTTCAGAAATTTGAAGATTGAAATAGTGGCTCTGATAGCTTAGACTATTAGATCTAGGATTTTCTTTATCTTCTATTTTAACATAAGTTAAAAGAGTAGAAAAATGGAATCAACCAGTTTTTTTTTATTTTTAAATTAGGTTGTCCATCCCCCTCAATATCTGATGTTTTTTCCTCACTGAATAGGAAGATGGGAAGACGGCTTGACCTAAGGTAGACAGTGCTTAAGTGAACTGGTCATCACAGAGCAGTTCTCACATCCCCAATATTAGGCCACAACAACATTAATTGGGTTTGTTCTTTTGTCTTTTGTTTTTATGTACCAGGGATTGAACCTGGGGCACATAACCAGTGATCAACATCCCAGGCCTTTTTGTTTTTTGAGCCAGCGTCTCACTAACTTGCTTAGGGCCTTGCTAAATTGCTGTGGCTGCCCTTGAATTTAGGATCCTAAATTGCTGGGATTACAGGTATGCGCCACCACGCCTGGCCAACAACACCAGTTCTAAAATCACTATCAATAGATCCAGCCTAAAATTTAAAATAAGCAATTTGGAAAGAATTGGAATGAGATCATCTTTTCCCCTTGCTGGTTCACCGAGTCTCTTCCTTATTCTTGCTGATGTTGCCCTCCTTTATCTGCTACAGATATCAGAGGAGCTACAACTACCAGGAAGTCAGTCGCACCTTATGTCCCTCAAAAGCAACCAATGAAACAGGACCTTTGAAACAACTGATATTTGTAGATGTGGCATCCATGACACCACTTGGTGCCCACTACAAACTGCTAGTCACCAAGATCAAGAACTTCCAGCTCCGGTAAGCAGGACTCGTGTGGTCTTTCTCTGCTTGTCTGTATTTCCTGTGCTTGTAGATGTTCAATTTGGCTTCCATTCCTACAGATTAGCACTCTGCAAGGAAATAATCCACTTAGCATGTTATTTTAACACATTCTGAATGGCCCTGCCCAGCAAAGCCTTAATCTAATCACAAGAGAGTTAGTAGGGGACTGGTGCAGAGGGAAAGAGCTGTTGGTCTCATAGATATGACCATTTTTGGAAGACTGCAAGATGGCCCAGTCCTGCCTATAATCCAGTCAAGAATTATTGGTGTCTGAATACCATTATATGTCTAACCACTGCCATGCTCCTGGAAGAAGTTGTGATTTTGTTTTAAGGAAGACTAAACTAATTTTTCTATCCTGATTGCTATTTTAGTTTTCTTCATTGAGGTTGGGAATGTAGATAGCAATGTGGCTTTGTCCTTCTTTGGAGTAACTAGCATATTTCCCCCTGTTTTTTAAAAAACAAAACAAACAGGCAAGCCCATTGGAAAAAATTGGCATGAAACTGACATTTCACCAAAGAAGCTCCCTCAAAAGAAAAAAAAAAAGCCATTTCATAAGCTGTCAGAAATATAAATTTAAACCACAATTCCACTACAACTACCAAAATATTATCATTTGAAAGGCCTGATGATGTAGTGCCAGTCCTAACTAAATACTCCACTCCTGGATTTAGAGGTTGTGGTATTGTGATATTTATTCAGTGGAATATCCATGACAATAAAAGTGGACAAGCTATTGTTGTACCTAATTACATGGGAAAACCTCACAATGTTGAACAAAAGCCAGACAAAAGAACACATGCAACAGGCATGTGGCTCATGCCTATAATCCCAGCAGCTTGTGAGGCTGAGGCAGGAGGACAGAGTTCAAAGCCAGCCTCAGCAATGGTGAGGCGCTAAGCAACTCAGTGAGACCTTGTCTCTAAATAAAATACAAACTAGGGCTGGGGATGTGGCTCAGTAGTTGAGTGTCCCTGAGTTCAATCCCTAATACCCACACCCCCCAAAAGTACATGCTGTTTGGTTTCATTTATATAAAGTTTATTAACAGGTGAAACTGCTCTGTAATATTAGAAGCCAAGATAGTGATGTCTTTAAGAAGGAAATAATAAATAAATAAAACTTGTAGAAGATAGGAAATGTGAATATTAGGAAAAAAAGTGTAAAAAAAGTGTAAATATCGAATGGAGAGGGAAGTCACATAATTTTTCTTTAAAATCCTTTTAAATATGTAATATAAGAATTTTTCATTCATATTATGTAATAATATGCTACTTTAGACCATAAGAATAAAATCATTTGATCTATTAAAAAAAGAAGAAGGAAATAGTAAAAGTGTGGTTCTATTAACTCACTGAGAAATATGCTTACAATTTTTGTGCTTTTCTGTATGTTTATTCTGTTTTGATTAAAAAGTTAGTTCAAAAATCAGGATTTTAAAAAATAGTATATGCTACCTTATTTTGCAGCTCATTTTTTTCTGAACAGAATGTTCTATTAGAAAGCCCCTCTTTACATTTAATAAGGCCATTTAAAAAGCAGTCTAAGCAAGTGAAGTTGCTAATAGGAATTGAATATTTATCTTAGTCTTCACCGCATCCTGGACATACTACTGTACCTATCATAACAATTGGATAAATGGCTGAAGGAATGGTCCAAAAGTTGGAGAAGTAGACCCAGCAGTTTGTTTTAAGTCCTTGCATTAATTCTGGTGTTGAAAAAGATGATGTGATAATGTTAAGAGCAAAAGACATCCCGTCCGTTCACCCTCAAAAAAGAATGGAAAAAAAATCAGGGTCTTTAGTGAGGAGATTTGTGCACTGAAACAGTTTTTAAAGTTTTCCAGATGATCCCAACATGCAGCCAGAGTAGAGAACCATTACCCTAAAGCAATTTCCAAATGTGGTTATCCAGTTTAACTTAACAATTTAAAATCAGTTTGATATTAAACCATATGGGAATCCATGGTTATACATTAAGTGGGGGTGGCAGCACACTATCTGAACAGTGAGTGCAGTTTAACCTTTCAGAGAAGACTTGCCTTTGCTGATTAGTGTCTCTGACCCCACTGTCACCCGGTGGCAGTGTACTTGAATTGTAGTGTGGGTTTGGGGGGAGGTAATTGGACCACATGGAGAAATGAATTCTGAGAAACTGAAGTCATAAAGTCACAACTCTGTGCAAGTGTTAATGAATGATTCGCATGTCAGTAAAACTGCAAATCTATTCTGTCACATCGGTTTCTGTTTCCACATCTTATGATACAATTTAGCCTTCTTTAGCCTCCGCAACCAGAAATGGAGAGCATTTTAAAATTCACAGTATTACCAAGTTTTATGAGATCAAGATAAGTCCAAAATGGTAGCTGAGATATTTGTATTTCTGCCTCCCTGGCTCTATCAGCATCGCTGATAACCCAGAAATCCAGAGAATGGGGCTAAGAATCTTTTCTTCATTGTTTTTTTTTTTTTTTAGTTGTAGATGGTCACAATATCTTTGTTTTATTTATTCATTTATTTATTTTATGTGGTGCTGAGGATGCAACCCAGTTCCTCACACATTCGAGGCAAGTGCTCAACCATTGAGCTATAACCCCAGCCCCAGGGGCTAAGAATCTATGGCTGAGGATTGCTATAAGAATTGGGCTCCAGCTATTGAGAGAAAAACTTAAGAATTACCTCAGAAGTTCCTGACATTGTAGTTTTTGCAGACAAGAAAATATATGAAACATGTTTTGGGGTTGTCCCCCCCCCCCTGAATCATACATTTTTGGGCAGGAGGTAGGTACTGGGAACTGAACCTAGGGTTATACTGTCACTAAGCTACATCCCCATTCCTTTTAATTTTTTATTTTAAGACAGGGACTCACTGAGTTGCCCAGTTTGGGCTTGAATTTCTAATCCTCCTGTCTCAACCTCCTGAGTCACTGGGATTACAGGCATACACCACAGTGCCAAGCTAGAACCATACACCTTAAGAACTGAAAGAATTTTAGAGTCTAAAGCATCCATTTCATTTTCACAGATGAGTTATCTGACGCTCAGAGATGGCTTGGGAATATTTGTTCCTTTGTTTTTGTTGTTGTTGTTGTTTTGAGAGGTGATCTCACTATATTGCCCATACTGGCCTCAGATTCATGGGCTCAAGCGATCCTCTTGCCTCAACCTTCTGAGTAACTGGAACTATAGGCATGAACTACCTATGACTCAGATGCTCAAAGATGTTAAATGACTTTTCCAAAATCACACAACTAGGAAAGTGTAAAATCAGGGCTAAACTTTGCTTCCAACTCTCAGTTTGGAGTTCTTCTTATCATCATGTGCTATTTCTACTTTGTACTTAAAATTGTCCTTCCAATTTTTATGTTCCCCTAAATATATTTCTCAATTCCATAAAACATTTATTTATTTAAATCCAACTTTAAATAAAACAATTCAGCCTTAAAGCACTCACTCACTGCCGTTCTCTCCCACTCCCTCCACACACCACACACATATACAACTTTGCTACTACACATACTCCCTAAGTGCCCCCCCCCCCATGCTCAGTGTGAAGTTGTAGACAGGAAGCAGCAGGGGCTTGCTGGAGCAAACAGGTACATGATCACAGGGTGGGAGGAGGTTCAGAGGGGTGTTAAGAAATTTAGATAATTGTCTACATTACATAGTCACACAGGGAATAGATTTGAAAGGGACAAGACTGGAGGCAGAGGAGTTAGAAGGCTGATGCAGTCGATGGTCAGGATAAATAAAGAGAAGGTGACTTAAAAATTTAGGAAGTGAAGCTGAAAAACTTAAGTGGACCTGTCACTATACTATGTTGATTTTAAGTCCTTTGGGTGAATGGCAAGGACAGGGATAACTGGGTTAAATTGTGGTTCCATTCCAAGTTTTCTGAGGACTGTCCATACTGCTTTCCAGAGTGGTTGTACCAATATGTGGTCTCATCAGCGATGTATGAGTGTACCTTTTCCCCCACATTATTGCCAACATTTATTGTTACTTGTATTCTTTTTTAAAAAAATTAATTTGTTCCAATTAGTTGATACATGATAGCAGAATGCATTTTGATTCATTGTACACAGATGTAGCACAACTTTTCATTTCTCTGGTTGTACACAATGTAGAGTCACATCACATGTGCAGTCAGTCATACATGTACCTATGACAGTGATGTTCATCTCTTTCCATTATCTTTCCTACTTTCATGCCCCTTCCCTTTCTCCCTCCTCTTTGTCCAATCAATATTTATAGCAGCTTGATTCACATGCTATGGAACCACCCTAGGTACCCTTCAACAGATGATGGATAAAGAAAATGTGCTCTCTATACACAAAAGCATATTACTCAACCATAGAGAATGAAATTACAGCATTTGCTGATGAATAGGTGGAACTGGAGACTAGCATGCTAAATGAAATAAGCCAATCCCCCAAAAACCAAAGGCCTAAAATTCTTTCTGATATGTGGATACTAACACACAATAAAGGGATGAGGAGGGAAAAATAGATGTTCATTGGATTAGATAAAGGGGAATGATGGGAAAAGAGGGAGGATGGGAATAGGAAAGACAGTAGAATGAATCAGACATAACTTTCTTACTGGTCATACATGAATACATGGCCAATGTAACTCCACATCATGTACAACCACAAGAATGAGAAGTTATATTCTATATATTTATAATATGTCAAAATACATTCTACTTTCATGTATAACTAAAAGGAACAAAATTTAAAATGTCCTCTTACTAGAAGGAAGATGAGCTGGGCATGGTGGTGCATGCCTGTAATCCCAGCAGCTCGGGAGGCTGAGATGGGAGGATCGAGAGTTCAAAGCCAGCCTCAGCAATGGTGAGGTGCTAAGCAACTCAATGAGACCCTGTCTCTAAATAAAATAAAAAATAGGACTGGGAATGTGGCTCAATGATTGAGTGCACCTGAGTTCAATCCTTAGTACAAAAAGAAAGGCCCG